CGAAGAACGGTAATCTAGGCAGTTTCACATTGGTGATTCACAGTTAGGAGCCGATTTTATGCCAGGAACACCATGCAGCTGTTGCTCTTCATTTGCACGCCTGACGTGAGCCGCGTGCTGATTCAGTTCACGTTTAACTTCTTCGTTTCATATTTTCTTTCTTATGTCTAAAGAACTGATTATGCATTACAGTTTAAAACAAGTTCATTTACTCTTTATTGCTTGCTTTATAGTGTAAACTTTTTCTTTGACCGTCGTATAAAACGCGAAGCTTGAATTATCTCAACTGACTTATCTCAAACCGTAATTATAGAAGCTCTCTAAATATTTGATACGTTATCAAGTGGATTCCTCTTTTGTATAAAATGACTGTATTGAATGATACAAAACGGGTGGACAACTTCTAGGCGCCAACGTTCTTCATAATATACATGAACAATTTACAATTAACAATGTATTTAATAAGCCATATAGGTATATACCGGCATTTCACAATAAAACTGATGTTGCGCCAAAATATTTATTAATGTATTTAGCTTCTTCTATAATTACAAAATCAAACAACACGTACACACAACCATGCATTCCTGTTCAACCCCAAAACGCGCAAACTTCAACGCCCCTGCCCACGTCTCAAAACATGAAAATAATAAAAAAAAACACGCAGCCTTAATTGTCCGCTATAACCTAGGACGGTATAAATTTTTACAATCATATATCTTCATTTTAAAATAGCTTGAATTTTATGACCACAACATTGGAAAATAGTTACGAATTCCTTTAAAACTTGGCATAGAACATATCGAAACGCAGCAAATGCGCCAAGTCTCCCACTTTTCAAGGTTGAACCAGGCATTAAAATAGCGTGTCCTTGTACACACTTTGTGTCCTTGTAAAAGGCGAATGTGCCCTTGTGAATTGAAAAGTGTGTACTTGAAAATATATTAAACTGAAAATATATTAATGCAATCCACGCAAAATGGCCAAAGATTTTGCAAATTCCGTTCTCAGAACTCTGGAAATGCCATTTCAGAGACCCCCTTAAAAGCTCGCGTCTTCGACGCTAAACTTGTCGCTTCGGCACTCGTTCTCGTGAGTCTGCGCATTTATACCAAAAATACGCCCCTGAAGGCAAAGCGTGTCCTGGTAAAAATTCCGTATTTTAATGCCTGGGTTGAACAAAAAGGTATAACAACAACAGTAAAAACTTTAAAAGTTTAACAAACCAACGACATACAATATTGTGAAGTATTGTTATTATGAAGTAAAAGTATCAGTTTCATAGTAGTAATTAAACTGAACAACGAGTCGCACTTTTTCAGAACACGAAATTGGTTGAAAATATATCAGGTATCAATGTCTCAAAAAGCTATAGACTTATTAAATAAAGCAGAAAAACTATCAGTATCTTAATGAAATATACAAAAAGAGAGTTAAAATTCACTACCATATTGCCTTAAAATACTCATTAATAATTCGTATTTTAAGCTATTCAAAACACTCGTTGCCGTGTTTTATCAGATATAAAACGCTCGGCTGCGCCTCGCGTTTTATGTCTGATAAAACACTCCTGCTTGTTTATTAAACAGTACTTACATGATTGCAATATTCTCATTAATAATTCGTAAAGAAAACATAAAATAACCATGAAGCATGGCCGGGTGCTGAAGTTTGTATATCAGTATAGTATATCTGCATGCGGGAAAATCTTGCTCGTTTGCATATTATGACATTTCTTACCAAATATCATCCATGTCATATGGATAACTGGTGAGATTATTGGAGAATACGGAGGTCAAGCAAACCACTTATACTGATGACATGAGTAGTATATATTACAAAACTACAAGTATTTAATCGTAGGTTACACAGGTATTAATTACAGATAAAAAAAAACCTTCACTGTAAAAACTTGTTCCAAATATGAAGAGATAAGATGGTCGTAAACATGCACCAATAGGTATAAACTGTTAATTGCGTTCCTGGCCACGTTCTGTTATTGTACTAGATACGGCTAATTACAAGCGGAAAGAAAATTTGCTTCACCGCAGTGACTCATATCTCCAAATTCCGGGTTTTGTAAAGGAAGCACGTGCGTGCATATGCGTCACGGAGCATGATAGGTGCATTGCCAATTTCAAAACAGTTGAAATTTATACTATAGCAAACAAATTAAACCACACGTCTCAATTCTATTCATTTGCCTCCAAATACAAGACTGCTATACAGGGTGTCCAAAAAAAACGAAAACTATTGAAATCACCACTAACAATTTAATTGTTAGAATTTGAATGCCTTAGCACTCTGTTGGTTCCCACGAGTGCATAAATGATTGACATAAGTAAATTTTATGCATAAAGAAACTGTGCTTTGAATTTGATTTAAATTCCCAAGCGCAGAAAATCGCGCACTTTACAAGGAGCTAGATGTTCTTAACTAAATTTTAATACATGCATGCATGCACCTTGTCAATATTTTACGCATCATTACGTTCAGCTTTTTGGTATATATTTAACAATAAGTGATTTCAATAGTTTTCGGGTTTTTTGGAACACCCTGTATATAATAAATAGAATAGAATAGAACATTAAGTTTCACTCTGATATAACATGGCATAACCAGCATTTATATATGCGATAGAATTTTCAAATTTGTTTCTTGTTAGGTTATGAGAGTCCAATGGCAATGCCCAATCTACGAAAGGGTTTATTCATAACTAAACTCTGAATATTTCACTTCTTGAACAATTATTTTAAAGCTTGTGGTGTCGTGATCACCATGTTTGCCTTTCCAGCTATAGGAGACCCGCTGGCTTCAATCCTTGGTTGGACTTCTCTACTCAACTAGGAGAAGAAAGTGCTATACCTTTACATTGACATCAGCAAATGGTCAGATTTTCGCGTCTTGTCGACGGGTATAAACTATAAAGGGCGTTAAAATCGTAGGTTTCTCGGATCCCCCATCAATTGCATGGGCAATAGGGTGTTGGGAAACCGCTCACCAATGTGTAAGAAACTCAAACAAAATTAGAACAGTAAATTAGTAGTAATTTCTCTTTATATTATTATTCTTCTATTTTGCATTGTTTTTTAATTATTTTATTCTGTACATAATTTAGTATAGGGAAGATAAGTCTTTGACTTACCATGCAGGCATATTGGCTGTAAAATATTTTAAACCCTCTTGCCGTGAAATAAAGATTATTGCAGTATATGGCTGTTTGAAAATCACTAACAATTAAGAGATTTAAAACGGCTTCTCCCGGTATTGTGAAGGAATTTAGAAGGCCAGTCTGACTAGTATCTCACGATAAAATTGCAACATGGATACAAATTGAAAACTCATTAGTCGTTTGGTTTAGTAACATTCACTCTAAGTTACGATCTGCATGCACGTTCAAATGTGGACTTTCACCCACGAAATTTGCCCTCACACTGAGAAAGGTATTGATACATTTGATGTCCAAAAATTGGTTTAGTAAAGCCGCATGTATAGCTGATTACTTACAGTAATTTTCACGTTGGCCTTTCTTGATTAGAATAAACACTCTTGCTGAGTTAATGTTTCGCTTTCCTATAAAACCCAGCTGTTGGCGGATACCACATGCGCACATCCTACGTTTCAGTCACATATAGTCCAAAATCCTGTTTTGGGGTGCCATACTTGGCCATTACAATTATTACATGTTGGCTCATTCACAATCAACAATATTATATTTTTGTAGTAAAATCTATAGCCACAAAAATGTTCAATCAAAATTTGAATATTTGTCGCTCCAGCTGTCTGCGCGATTTATGCATGTTATCTGATTTACATGTATAGCTACACCTACGCTACGAAGTGCATGGTGTCGAATTTTATAGTAATCATATTTTGAATCTTCTCAGATCATTTAAGAATAAATTCACCAAGGAGATTTAATATATGGACTAGTGGAACGAAGTCAACGATATACGTTGCCGATGTCCTTTGTGTTCATGACTTATTCAATAAGTTTGAAAAGTAGTACATTTATTAGTTTCCAAATGTAGGACTTTGCCCGAAATGTCTGAATTTGCTTAACCATATATTTGTTGCATGGAGTATTTTGACTCGAAAATGTCAATTACTTGAGTAAATTAACTCATAAATTTGACAAATTTTTCACTCATGTTTTGAAGACAAAATTGTTTGCAGTGTGACCCATATTATCAGTGGGAGAGTTCGCAAACTGCATAATCATGGGGCAGGTAATCAAGTACTCCGTCCTGTGTGCCTCCTTAACTAAATATCCCAGTCTTCCGGTGATCTGATTATTTTACCACGATGCATGCCTGTAGTTGCTATAAGACTCAGTTTTCAAGCAAAACTTTCAAAAGTGCCGATTTTAAATTTTTTAAACGTTTTCACCACAAGCACTCGCTCACTTCTGATAAAACAAAAAATGTTTCACAGACAAAGCATTTCCTTCTCGACCCCGCATTTAATGGTAGAGCTCCATTAAAAGTGGTAACTTTGGCATGTGCGTGGTTTGATTGTCCTTTATCAATATTTATATAAAGTCTGCTGGAGTTTTAATTATAGAAGCCATTCTTCGCCTAACCACAAAAAAATAAACATTTAAGACAAGGGGGAAATTTTCCTTTGTTCCAGTCGTATCGCAATACTGGGTGAATTATGTTTTCGTTCATAAAAATGGCCATTTTTTTAAATATACAGTTTCATGCCGGGAGTAAATTCAAAATAACCCATATACAAACTCAAGTATAAATTTTCTCATCTGTCTTTAGACTTCTGCATTAAAGAATTAAATAATTAAAGTTTTTCAGTTGAAATCTGCACAGCGACACAACATGAGTTAACTGATTTACGCTAGATTAGCAAAGCAATCATTAGGATATTCCTGAACAGGTATAGGGGGTTGATCTTAAGACTTCCAAGTCCGTGGGAACAAATCTTAATTGTAATGAAAGGAATAGAAACAAAAGATTATTGGAACTTAAATTTTAAGCATGATTTTACGGTTCTCAGATTAACTTCAAAACTTAACATCATTTTAAAACAGAAAAATAACTCAACTGAACAATAATTAAACCTTGTCTTGTATTCTGCTGTCTGTAGAATTTCTTTGCATGTTTATATTCCCTATATGGTATATATTTCAAAGTTTCAAAATTTTTCGGCGTTGTACATATATATAGCTATAGAGTTTCAATTCCTACACAAGATATTAAGTTTGATGTGACATCGATCTTAGTTAAAAAAAACCCTCTAATCATACCACACCTGTTATTAAAATGTGGACAGATACTAAACCGCAAGAATCCAACTGGCACTAACTGCGTCAATGCATCAGCGTCGTAGTTCCTGAAAACATCGATGAAAGAGAAAAATAATTGAAACTCCGCCAGCGACAAACAAACTTTTCGTGCACTATTGTTCAGTAAAGCCGTTCCTGACCACTATAGATGCCGTAATGAACAACAGGTGCATTTTGCATCAATCAAGATACAAGACACGTCTGACCCCTTTTCGATGATGCATGTAAATTTGAACGGAAAAGCGGATGCTTTTTTTCCGTAAATGATTACTAAAACGAATGCCCATGCATGTATATAAAATTCGAATTATTCTTAAGTTTGCACAAATATAATGAACTGATTTAAAAAACTCATTAATAATTCATGAGGAAAATACAAAAGAAATGAATATTCAATAAATGTTTGTAAATCGGATAAAGATTTGTCCTGATTCACATAAACTTCAGCTAAAGATCGGCTGCTCATGTTTTATATAGTACTTATAGAACAGTTTCAAAATACTATTTGTATTTAAGCAGAGAGTTTGGCAATCGAAACCGGCAACCGCAGAAAACAAAATTACTTACATTTTTGCATGCGGGCCAAAAAAAATCATACAGTTCTCGAAACTTTGTTTGCCTCTTATCTTTCTTCACAAACAACCCTAAAGCATAACACTATAGTCAGTGAAATCATGCACATAAAACATCCACCATGCACGACAGTTTCAACTGTCGGAGTATGGTTACGAACCGTGAGAATGGTGTAATTAAAGCCGGGATCAATACTACTGTAAATTTAAGGAGTTGATTTGAATCAACTCCAATAAAGTGTTATTCTCTCACCGCGTATTTGGTGATAGAATAACAATTTTGAAGATGATTCAACTTCTTGAGATTTACAGTGAAATGAGGATAGAAATGCATGAGAGTTGGCAGCCACGGCATCTTGCCTTGGTTATAGCTTTTCTAAATGATTTCCCAACACTATCATCCATGCTCCTATTTAAGTTAAAACTTAGAACACTCGTCAAACTTCAGGTATTTTGTTAATATAAAGCTCAATAGAAATGTCTCCTGTAACAATGCTAACGTAAAACAGTTTGAACAACTACGGGGGCGTACTATAGAGAATACAATTTATAGTCGCCTTTGTCTTAGACGTAAAATTATATATATTCGGTTGATGCATGATCACGTCTTCACTGATGTTGTCGTTCTATTTGCCAAAGTCTACGTTTACGTGTACGAGTCGTATCCTGGCGTATGTAATCGAATAAGCACGTGTAAAGTGGTTGCATTTCACATCTCGCCATAATCTGAATGAAGAGGATTTGTGGCGTCAGCAGTAAATTTCATACGCCAGAATACAAATCGTACACGACAAATCGCAGCGTGTGAAATGTAGCTTCACTATAAGGAGATTCTAGTAATGTTACATAATAAAACATCTGATTACAATTTGACCATGCAGAGTCAGAGAGTATAATTGCAGTCATTATATTGTTTTCCCAGTTTGTTCAAATTTTGTGAAAAAGAATATACGAATCCCTATAGCTGGAACTATCATTAATAAAGGAGAGAGAAACTATGTGAAGTGTCAGCCTCGTCGGCTGAAACCGGGAGTCAGGACGTACAAAGATTTTCAAAAAATGTACTTTCCACTAATTACTAATTAAACAAGGTGGGTGATGAAATCACGTCAATTAATTAAAACCGCACCAGCTTCGGCTTATGTATTCAACTTAAGTTTCTTTTTTCGAAAATTAAACGAATCAGAGCCGCTTGCCAAGGTCATTGATAACGAAATGAACGGAAGTAGGAAACACATGATGCGGCTTTCACCACCCATTGGTAAACGTGCTCCTAAAGTAATGCACCATGCACTATATAAAACGGCTGAACTCATTGCTGAAATCAAACAAGTCTTCAAACTGTTCGAAGAAGGTGAAAAAGGTTCAAAAGACAAGAAAGAGTTGGAGAATACAGTTTCTATACTTAGTAAGGTATGTTACTTTTTCAGACTTTTGTTATGTTGTTGAGTACTTTATAGTTATATACGCACTGCTGTTCAAAACTTGTGCATGCATGCGTTTTTATCGCAAGAAACAAGCGAACAAACTTTTAGAAAGATATTTCGAAGGTTTCGTGTACCTGTTTCATTAACTTTCATCGTTGTGTTATGTAACGCAGTGTAACAATCTGAACACAAAGTTAGCACTATAAAGTTGGAAAAACTATTCTGGGAACATGGCGTTTACAGTACAGAACAAAAGCCCAGCTAGGAGAGTTCATAATTGAACTTTTAACTAAGTTGAACATTAAACTATGGTCTAGCTTTTCAATTTTTCACAAGCAGTTTGTGACCATGAATTTACTATTGACTAAATTATAGATTAGCATGCTACAATAGTAGAAAAACTTGCATGAAAAATTGAACAGTAATATTGAAAACCGCGGCTAAGCTTTTTCAAATACTTTGAGGTGTTTTAAAATATTTCTAGCAGACACATTTCGTTCTAATTCCTATACACACTTACTTCTTAGAAAACTAATTGTAAAACCTAATTAAAGTATTCTAAAAATATGACAGTTTAAAAATATTTTCGCTGATTCTCAGCCTCGTCCTTTTTTCTTCATTGTAAGGTGTTTTATACGCCAGCAATGCAGCACGCAATAAACAGCTTTCGATCGAGTTTTTAATATTACATTTTCTAGTATTCATGAAATTGAAGGTTGAATAGTTGAGTTAATTTGTGGGCGTTTATTAAACCTTGGTGGTATATCAAGACATCGATACTGTATGGTGGTTTCCGCTGTGTTTTGCTCATGGATTATTAATAAGAGACAATTTTTCTATGTCCCATATTGGCGATGAAAAGTGATCAAAACCGAAAATCTTTTGGCGTATACCTTTCAAAATTGCTTTGTTTAGCCTTATTCTTTAGTTTCTACAGTTAGCGGCAACATTTTTAAATGTATATGGCGGTTGAGAAACACAAAATAATAGTTAAATATTGTCAATTTAAATAAAATTATCATTGATGCTGTAAAATTGACGCCATGCATATTATATATACATGCAGCAGTACTGAATATAGGCAAACTTTATACTGAACTTCACTAGACATTGTTTTCTCTTTGGCCATTTAAAATCTCTTCATTTTAGCATACGTTTACAGACAAAGTATGCAGTAAACATACTTTTTAAGTTCGTTTTAAAATTTGAGTATGGTCAGAACCAAGTGAAAGAGTAGCCTATATATTCATTAGGTCATCATTAGTTTTGAGCGTGTCGATTACGTGATAATATATTCTCCTCTCAATGACTTCGAGAAGAAAACTTGAAACTTAATTGATCTTTTACAGTTTTAGTAAAGTACCTGAAACTATAAGACTTATATATAAGTATATTAATTGATGCTGCTTCTGAACTATTTTAAAAAAACTCCACCTTTTATAGGTGTTATAAACACACACATGGCATACTGTACTTATATAATATATAGTATTTTAGTTAAAGTTGTCAAAAACGTATATTAATTCAGTTATAGATACAAATAAGTAAAGTCAGTAGGTATATACACGTACCGCACTCTGTGACCTTTTAAATGTACACTATATATATATATATATATATATATATATATATATATATATATATATATATATATATATATATATATATATATATATATATATATATATATATATATATATATTTACGAGGTGACCTTACAACTTCCTCCTTTTTAATTTTTCTCGTATGTTTGAATGGTTGCGCTTTCATTTTAATCCAAATTTTCGTATGGATATTCAACTCCAAAATCACAGCCAGTTCGGTCGTCCTCTTGTTTTAAGCTACGTTTACACGCTACGATTAATCGTGTAGGCCTACGATTCGTATTCTGGCGTATTAAAATGAGTGCTTGTGCCATAATTCATTGCCGATTCGTTAAGAAATTTCAAATGTAGGCAGCTTACGCACTCAATGACATACGCCAGAAAACGAATCGTACACGATTAATCGCAGCGTGTAAACGCAGCTTTACTGAATCCAAATGACGCGTTTATATGACGCGTTCTGCGTTGGGGCGCAATTCAACTGAACTATATATAACATGTAGCTGACAGGACTGGAAGAATCATGATACAAATGATTATTCAACACAAGTGTGCAATCATGATTTGGCTGTGCAAAAAGTTGCTCAAAAACAAGTTAGTTTCCGCTTTAAATTAGAAAATAAATTCCCTATATATAGGTGCACCTTTCTTTCTGATTTTGCTTAACACAGACGACAAAATATGCTAGTACAAAAATTATTTACTGACATGCAGAGTTTGCATGTTGTGACTGTATAAGTGAAACACTAATATATATATAATAATTAAACAATTCAATACTTTGACATGCATGCATATATTGAGTTAGAAATGACATGCATATATTGAGTTTAAATTAGAAAATAAATTCCCTATGTATATAGGTGCACCTTTCTTTCTGATTTTGCTTAACACAGACGACAAAATAGTACAAAAATTATTTACTGACATGCAGAGTTTGCATGTTGTGACTATATAAGTGAAACACTAATATATAATAATTAAACAGTTCAATACTTTGACATGCATATATTGAGTTCATGTAGGTTCAGCCAGATATTATGATTCGAATGCAATTTATCCCGACAACATTTGGATGCGCATTTGGGACTCTGAAATGAATTCGTTTATTGGTCCGTCCTACCATGATATATTGATATGATATACTATACACATTCTTATAGCTTTATTTTTCCACATGCGCGCATTTGGGAAACATTGTGCTAATCGTATAATGTATCAGAGAGGTATATCAAAATTAAGGAAAAGCTATTACCTTTTCGGCTTACCTTCACTTTAAAAGTCTTTAATCTGCGGATCCGTCCACTCGCCCAAAAAAGCGTGTCACAACATTCAGAAAAACATTCAGAAATGCGACACTTACGTACATTTCCTAACGACAATTTCGAAATGGCGACATTCCTTTGGTTTAAGATGTGTGGGGCGAAACCAGAATTATTCATATTAAATTTTCGGACGCTCTCTGGTTTAAAATATCTATTGATTTAAACGAGCTTTCGTCTGGCAGTCTGCAGCCTTCATCGGGTAAGTTAGAATGAGGTATTACAATGGCGGTTTACAATTACACATGCAGACATGGAGTGACAAAGAATGACAGTTCCGCCTACTTTATGATGAATACCTATATAGATAGTATATTTAAATTCTTCAAAGTTTCTTTAATGGCAAGCAATTTAATGTTGTTCTGCATGATTCTAACTGGTAAAAATTTTACCAGAACAACAGCGAGAGCATCCAAAAACTTAATAGCTATTAATAGTCTAACACTTTCGCAGTAAATGGCGAAAGAACGTGATCGCATACCAGTCATACCGAGTTGAGACGAAAACAAGACACGTTTTTTCGCGGGCGAGAGGAAGCTAGCGTCCGCGGTTTTTCTAATAGAATTATCATGTTGTTTGAAGGTCAAGTATGCAGCAATATTATGAGTTCCTCCATGTGAAATAATTGCAACAGATCAACAAGCAGTAGCCTATAAATTCGTGTCAACCGGTTAACGATATCGATTGGGTCAACTGGAATGTTACTAACCAGAACATGGCTATTATTTTCAAAATGGAAAACCACAATATCTACAGTAAAACGACATAGTTTGCATGCAGATCCTTCAACCACGTATTTATACATACCGAAGTATGCCCGAAAGTTAATCTCTGAATAGGAAGAAAATGTACCACGCAGAGTTAGGGTTAACCCATAAACTGTGGTTTAACCAAATGTGTTTATGACGTCAATGAGATTTTCAGTTAGATATATATAGGCGACTTATAGCTACATGTATAGTATCGTGTTACTGATAATTAACTATGGCAAATTTGGTAGTCACACAATTACATTGAAACTGAGAGAAAAACTGGTTTATTTAATATTTATACATGTATACTATTACTCATTTACAACATGAGCGGCGCGAGTTGTATTAAGAAGGTCTTGGTGAGCACATTCGTATTCTTCAACAATTTCTTGTGACAAATCAAATTAAATTAAATTAAAATAAATGAATTAAATTGGGTGAGAAAATTGAAACTAAAATTGTGTGAATCAAATCAGCACGACTTTGTATCAGACATACAAACTTCTTCGCGGTCATGATTTCTTTTCTGGTTTCTTCATGAATTATTAATGAGTTTCACAAGGCTAGTTCACAATATCAATCTTGCCGGGAAACATACAACTGTATTCTATTTTAGCCTTTCTCACGATGACGAATATCCGCCATTTTTGGGTGGCATCCAATTCTCGTTAACCAATGCAGACAATTGAAACAATGTGAAAAGCAATTTTTCAAAATAAACTAACCATTTACAAAGCAAATTTACCATAATTTGTCCAAAAAATTATAAAAAGTCGCTGTTATGTGGACTTATCTCGCAGACCTCGGCTGAAATGCCACCCAAAAATGGCGGCGTGAGAAAGGCTAATTGAATACGGACCTTAAATTCTGTAGTTTAATGTCCCTTAACCATATTTTTCCTAAGACTAAAATGTATATAGGCTTCTTTTAAATAATCCTTTCATACGAAAGTACGATTTATAAAAAATGCGGATAAAGCTACTATAATCCTATATAGTTTTAACCTATGACGTGCTTATAGCCGAATACAGAATATTTGCGCAAAATTGACATTCTAGCTTATATAGCCAACGCAAATGGAGAACTAAAAGTTAAAAGTGTTTATATTGAGCTTTAAAACATTTTCCCCATTTTGATCAGTTGGATAGCGCTAATAATATTCCTTTGTTTTATTTCAGAATGAACAATTTTAACATTTTCCTAATTATTGGTGTGGCATTTTATTTTGCTACCGTAACGTCTGGTTGCCCAAATTGCATACCAGTTACCGATACCACAAAGAAGACCCAATGCCCTAATACCCCTATCTGTTCCAAGCAAAAGCGAAGTATTGTCTGCCCACCCTGTATACCAGATACCGATAACGCAAAGATCCAATGCCCTAAAACCCCTATCTGTGCCAAACAAAAGCGAAGTATTGTCTGCCCACTCTGTATACCAGATACCGATACCGCAAAGCAGATCCAATGCCCTAAAACCCCTATCTGTGCCAAACAAAAGCGAAGTATTGTCTGCCCACTCTGTATACCAGTTACCGATACCGCAAAGCAGATCCAATGCCCTAAAACCCCTATCTGTGCCAAACAAAAGCGAAGTATTGTATGCCCACTCTGTATACCAGATACCGATATCGAAAAGATCCGATGCCCTAAAACCCCTATCTGTGCCAAACAAAAGCGAAGTATTGTCTGCCCACTCTGTATACCAGTTACCGATACCGCAAAGCAGATCCAATGCCCTAAAACCCCTATCTGTGCCAAACAAAAGCGAAGTATTGTCTGCCCACTCTGTATACCAGTTACCGATACCGCAAAGCAGATCCAATGCCCTAAAACCCCTATCTGTGCCAAACAAAAGCGAAGTATTGTCTGCCCACCCTGTATACCATTAACCGTAGCTGTCCTCTACCAAACAAAGTGTCCTTCTACCCCATTTTGCATCAGAGAAAAGCGAAGTACCAACGATTGTCCACTGTGCATACCATCACATTTGGTACACCACTACACTAAGCACAACCTTTGCATTGGCACGCCTGTTTGTTCCAAGAAAAAAACGCAAGGCAAAATGAAACGAAGCCCAGATGTATGTCCACTCTGCATACCATTTCATATGATAGACTTCTACAAAACGCATAAATCTGAATGCGCTACCAAGCCTATTTGTGTCAAGATGGGAGCAACAAAAGACAAGGTGAAACGAAGCCCAAATGGATGTCCAGTCTGCATACCATTTCATATGAAAGACTTCTACAAAGACCTGTGTCCTAATACCAGTATCTGCGTCAAATCTAAGGTAGGTCCTATAATGTTTAATATATTAAATTGTATCCCAATATTTAAAATTCTATCTATTATTCTATCTATTATTCTATCAGTTTAGAGCATGCTCTTTGATTCTTAAACCATGTTTTCGTGTGAAAACATCTCACTGGAAAAAGAATTGAAAATTCATAGAAGGCCATACAATGGAAATATATTGTATGGATCTTTATAAGAACTAGCATGGATTCCGATTATCCATAATAATTGTATATTTCCATATTATCGATAGTGTATCGAAATAGTATGCCGGATATATGAATTTAGTGGTGCAATTGCAAATCGCATAGTATGGATTTCACATTTTTTCCCAGTGTCTAGGAATACAACTACATTCCTACACCTGTTATTTTTAAAATATGAAACTATTTTCAGCTACATATGTCAATATAATTTCTCACGGACCAATCAGACGTCGCTATTACAACGACGTGAATTTCACGAATAGAGCGTTTGCACTCATTCCCCAAAGACCAACTCAACAAAAGCTATGGCGGCCATGTTGGTTTTCCAGACAAAAGAGTCTAATTAAAATTCTTTTGAATTGGAACACCAACATGGCGGCTGTGACGTCATGTACAAACGATCTACAGGGTGTATAAAACAAAAACTGAACAGATTTGAAATTGCTCTCAATTTCGCAAAACACCTATTTGTATGTGTTTTTTTATAGATATAGCTTCTTTGGATACTTATAATGTAGAGTAATGAAAAAAAATTCATGAACTCAAATTTTGTGAACCAGGGGGGTGTGTCTTTTCCAACAAACTAAAAATGGCTCGCGCACAAAATTTAAAAGTTGTAATCATATTTTGAGTTAATAGATGGAAAATTTGTCGGGTTTTTAATTACTGTACAAAATTTCAGACAATTTGGTTCAGTTTAAGCCGTTTAACTATTCACGCAAAGTTACATTTTTCCGAAAAATCAGCTATTTGCATGCTTAATTAATGCCTTTGCCTAATTTGCATATGTTAGCAATATGCAAATTAGGTAAAGGCATTAATTAAGCATGCGAAAGGCTGATTTTTTAGCCAAAATGAATAGTTAAACGGCTTAAACTAAACCAAATTGTCTGAAATTTTGTACAGTAATTAAAAACCAAACAAAGTTTCCATCTATAAACTCAAAATATGATTAGAACTTTTAAATTTTGTGCGCAAGCCATTTTTAGTTTGTTGGAAAAGACACACCCCCCTGGTTCACAAAATTTGAGTTTGAGAAATTTTTTTCATTATTCTACATTATAAGTATCCAAAGAAGCTATATATATATAAAAACCGGATACAAATAGGTGTTTTGCGAAATTGAGAGCAATTTCAAATCTGTTCAGTTTTTTTTTTATATACCCTGTATAGGGAGAAATGGTAGGGAAGGATCCGCGGTTTTAGCATAACAGGTGGTAGGAATTTTAAGAAATATAGAGCTCAAACTCAATAATAATTCATGAGTAAATTAGCCAACCGTATTGCTTTATTTTGATCACATGATAATACTGGATAACTGGTGAAGTTAAAATTAATTCAGTCCTTGGATTGGATCAAAATGAATTCACTTCACTTTATAAAGTAGTGATTTATTCGTATGAGATGTCAACTGAGATGTTCGTATGGATCAATTTGCGTGGACTTGAAATCTAGCTATATAGTCCATCCTCATAGTCGGATTTGAAATATTACATGAAAATCACACTCTGAAAACTATGGTCAAAATACGAGCCATTAATAAGACAGACAGACAGACAGACAAAAAAAGGGGGACTCACGTTGGTTTCCATGCGTACATGTTTGTTTGTTTGTTTGTTTGTTTGTTTGTTTGTTTGTTTGTTTGTTTGTTTGTTTGTTTGTTTGTTTGTTTGTTTGTTTGTTTGTTTGTTTGTTTGTTTGTTTGTTTGTTTGTTTGTTTGTTTGTTTGTTTGTTCGTTTGTTCGTTTGTTCGTTTGTTCGTTTGTTCGTTTGTTCGTTTGTTCGTTTGTTCGTTTGTTCGTTTGTTCGTTTGTTTGTTTGTTTGTTTGTTTGTTTGTTTGTTTGTTTGTTTGTTTGTTTGTTTGTTTGTTTGTTTTGTTTGTTTGTTTGTTTGTTTGTTTGTTTGTTTGTTTGTTTGTTTTGTTTGTTTGTTTGTTTGTTTGTTTGTTTGTTTGTTTGTTTGTTTGTTTGTTTGTTTGTTTGTTTGTCACATTACCTTTATCTAGCTAATTTCTTCTACTTACCTTCTAGACCTCGGGAAAAGAGTGAGGAACTAAAACGTTGCCGAAGGATTAACCACGAACTTCCATGTACTGTTATTTATACTACTTTTATATTTGTGATAGCCGGAAACGGTTAAAGTAATAAGTATATATACTATTTGTTTTATTTAGAAAGTCATACGAACTCGAATCCGAGTTGCGTGTTGGCCAATGCATGAGAAATAATTAGAAAAACTAGTAGACTGATTAAATACGATTAATAAACAAATTATTTTATATTATTCATAACCGTGTGTCCAAGTTGTCAAATTTGTTTCAGAGTATTTACTTTCCCTGTTTTTGTTCCCAATATTTTTCATTATCATTCACAATTGGTTTATACGTCAGACGTGAACATGTACTAGACCTTAGCCTGCGGTATATATAGTCAAGTCATTAGGCGACGCCCTCTCTTTTCCCCTACGGCGCCCTCTCTTCTCCCGCCCGCACTAAACGCCTGCTACGCAGGCTAACTAGATCTAACCAGGAGCAGTTGTGAAAAATGCAACTATATAGGTTCTCTGACAGGAATTGAACCAGCGGCCCTGCGACTCCGGGGCAGCGCTCTAACCAACTAAGGGCCTGTTCATATGGG